CGCGGCGAAGCTGGCGCAGCTGCAGCGCGCCTACGCACTGCTCGCCGACGACGCGGCGCGTGCGCGGTACGCGGCGCACCACTACGCCTCGCCCGATGCCTCACTGCACGTACTCGTTGATGGCGGCCAGGTTGCGGCGAACTTCAACCCGGAGCACCAGTCGTTTGAGTACGTGGACCACGCGCTTTCCTCCACCGCCTCCGCGACGTCATCGTCGTTGCCGTCGTCATCTTCAGACACGCAGCGGTCGTTTGGCGACTTCACGGGGCCGTTTCGGTCCGCGACGTGTGGGCGCGAGAGTTCGGCGGATGCGCAGGCGTACGACGCGCGCGAGGCACTTGCCGCGCAGAACGGCGCATGCATTAACTTCATGCTTCGCGTCTCGTTTGACGAGAGCATCCTCGGCTGCACCAAGACTGCCGTTTACGAGAAGAACCTCAAGTGTGCCCGCTGTGGTGGTGCTGGCCGGCAGGTGCTCAAGCGGCCGCGCAGGTGCCCACAGTGCCGCGGACGCGGCTCGACGCACCTGCCAAGCGCCACGTATCACATCGAGCGGGTCTGCGGGTACTGCGGTGGCAACGGCTCCGCGCTGCCGCCAAAATGCGGGGCGTGTGGAGGGAACGGCGTGGTGGTGGGCGAAACGGTGCGCGTCCCGATTGATGTCCGTCCGGGTACAACAACAATGACAGTGTGGCGATTGCGTGGAAAGGGACATGATGGGGTGCGTGGTGGTGCCGCAGGAGATCTCGTTGTGACGCTCCTGGTGCAGGAGCATCGTCTCTTTCACCGTGACGGGCTTGATTTGCACATGTTGCTCCCCGTCCCGCTCTCTATTGCCTTGCTTGGCGGTGTCGTGTCAGTTCCTACGCTCCAGGGACCGCAGCCACTTCGCGTGCCTCCCTGTGTGCGAAACGGCCAGCGCTTGACGATGGATGGGCACGGTGTACGCCTCGATGGAAGCGGCAGTGACAATGGTGGCGCACTCGAGACGGACGCGGCGGATGGACTTAAGGCATCTGCGCCACAGCAACAACAACAGCAAAGACAGTGTGGACATCTTTACGTCACCCTGCTGGTGGTGATACCCAGGCGGGAGGAGTTGACCGGGGCTCAACGGTGCGCCCTGGAGAACTTTGCGGCTGCGGCAGAAGACGGCAGTGCCACCGCTGGTGAGGAGGAGACACCTGCATCGTTGAAACGGCGCTTCGGTCACTGGCTGACGAGTATGTAGTCGTCTTTTACATTGTGTGGTGCACTTTTGGTGAGGACGAGGAGAGGAAGTTACCCGACGCTTCACGTGGGGATTTAGCACCCCGCCCCCTGCTGGGGGTCGTCTCGTCTGTGTGTCTGTGTCTGTGTTAGTATGGGTCTTTGCATCGCTGGTGCGAGTGTTGCGTCGCTTGTTCTCCGCTTCGTCACTTTTGTCCTCCTCGGGGATCTACCGGACACATTGTGTAATCATCAACGCCATGGCGGCGGTGTGCAGAAACACCCGTGCACTTGATTGTCGTGGCGTAGATGAGTGAACTGCTCTCAAATTCAGTTTCGCTTCCCGTTGATGACTTGCATTCAGATGGCCCACCTGGGCAACCGTAAGGGCTGCGTAGTGGCATACATTTGCATTCTGTTCCCCTCATCACGGTTTATTCGCACCAGCTGGGGAGGGCGCCTATGACGTGCGTTTGCTTCAGAGGAAGACCTCTGCTCGATTTCCCCGTGTTGTGGGTGCTGGATTGTTGACGGTGCTTATCGCCCATACTGCCCATCCCACCCCCAACGAAAGTGCCTGAGACCTTTGCTGCCACCACACAATGTGGGCCGTATATGTGCGTGTGTGGTCGGCATTTTGCCGTTATGCTCACATCTTGGCTGATTCCCATTCCTCTCCCCAACGAGGATTTGTCCTGCGCTCTTGCGACTGGATGCGCGTGGGGGATGTGTTGTACGCAAATGCGTTCTTGCCCCAGTGGTGGAGACCTTGCTTTCTCTTATCTGTCGTCCTTTTCTTTTGTTTCTTGTGACTTTGTTTGGGGTGCCGGGTGGGGGTGCCCTCGCAATCACTCGCTTGCTTTCCTTTCTTTCCTATATTGCTCACTTGGTCGTGTCTGTCTGCGGCCGTGGGGAAAGAATCAAAGTATACACACAAGCACGTTCATTCGCTGCTTTTACGATGTCGGCACGGAAGATGGCGACTGGCAGCTCGTACTACCTTCCCTCACCCATGACGCGCTCGTTGGATGCGGGGGACTCTGTCAAGTTTGTCGTAGTGACCGGCGGTGTCTGCAGCTCTCTCGGCAAGGGCGTGACGACCTCCGCTACAGGTGCCCTTCTCCGCGCGCACGGGTACCGCGTCTGTAGCATCAAGATCGACCCGTACATCAACATGGACGCAGGGCTGATGAGCCCGTACGAGCACGGAGAGGTGTACGTCCTCGAGGATGGCGGAGAGGTTGACCTTGATCTCGGCAATTACGAGCGCTGGATGTCGGTTCATCTGAAACGCGACCACAACATCACGACTGGTAAGGTATACCAGAAGCTCATCACAAAGGAGCGCGAGGGGGGTTTTCTCGGAAAGACCGTGCAGCTGGTGCCACACTTCACGAACGAGGTTGTGGACCACATCTTCCGCATCTGCCAGGAGCCAGTCTGTGAGAGCGGAAAGTTGCCGGAGATCTGTATGATCGAGCTGGGCGGCACAGTGGGTGATATGGAATCGCAGCCGTTTGTTGAGGCCCTGCGCCGACTCCGCTACTCTATTCCGCCAGAAGATTTCTGTCTGATGCACACGACGTACCTCCCTGTCTTTGGTGGTTCACAGAAGACGAAACCAACGCAGCACAGCTCCCGCACGCTGCTTTCCCTCGGCCTTCAGCCCGACTTCTTGGTGTGCCGCAGCGAGGAGCGTCTCACAAAGGAGGTGAGGGAGAAGTTGAGCAACCAGTGTGGTGTGCAGATCGTGGACATCATTGGTGCACCTAACGTTGATTCACTGTATCAAATTCCTGTGGAATTTACCAATGAGGGTCTGGTTAAACGATTGCTGCACAAACTGCGCCTGCACTCCAAGGTGCCCCCAATGGATGTGCCCAACTATGAGACCTACTTGCAGTACACCAAGATCCTTCGCGATATGTCGAATCCTGTTGTCCGCATTGCTTTTGTGGGCAAGTACGTCACAGCCGGTGGAGACGCTTACTTCTCCGTTCTCCAGTGCTTTGAGCACTGCCAGATCGCTCTCCAGGTGCGTCTTGACATTCTCTACATTGAATCGGAGGAACTTGAGGGACCCAATGCAGAGGAGGCCAAACAAGCAATTGTCGAGTGCGATGGCATCTTCGTCCCTGGTGGATTCGGTGTGCGAGGCGTGGACGGCAAGTGTGCTGCTGTTGAAGTGGCACGGAAGCATAATATCCCGTACTTCGGCGTGTGCCTTGGCATGCAAGTTGCACTCATTGAGTTCTGCCGCAATGCTCTCGGCTGGAAGGACGCAAACAGTGAGGAGTTCGACCCATCAAGCACGCACCAGGTTGTGCGTATCATGGACTGTGATCGCACGAGCATGGGTGCCAATATGCACCTTGGCGCCCGCGACGTGCACCTTGTGGAGAAGAACTCCACGATGGCGAAGATCTATCCCCACGCCGACGTCATTGTGGAGCGCCACCGCCACCGTTATGAGGTCAACACGACATACCTCAAGGAGGTGCGTGATGCGGGCCTGAAGATCAGCGCCGTGACGGACCCCGACATGGGCCCGGAGTGCCGCGTGGAGGCGATCGAGATCCCCTCGCTCCGCTTCTTCCTCGCAGTGCAGTTCCATCCTGAGTTNCGCGTGGAGGCGATCGAGATCCCCTCGCTCCGCTTCTTCCTCGCAGTGCAGTTCCATCCTGAGTTTGTGTCATCGCCGATGGACCCGTCGCCGCCGTACTTGGCGTTCATGGCGGCGGCAGCAAAGAAGGAGTACAACTGGCCAGCGGCGTGTGCTACTCGTCGTGTGAGGACGTCCTCGCCACAAGTGCAGAGGCAGCAGTGAGGAGATGCCCAATATACAACCAAAACAGCAACATGAACGCAACGAAAAGCAGTAAAAGAAGACTGAAAGGGGGGGTGTGAGGGCAGAAATTCAGGATTAAAAAAGGCTATGACAACGATGCAGGAATCACTGAGTGCGTCGGGGACGAACTGGGATGTGCGTAACTGTGAGGAAGTGTATAATCAAACAATGGTTCAGAAGAATCTGGTCTGTATCTGTGTGTGTGTGTGTGTGTGT